GAGGCTAAAGTAGGAAGCAGTGAAAGTATTCCTGTAGCAAATTCCGGTAGCTCCAACAAAGGTGAAGAGAGGTGAAAGCATGCTGCCTTCTGATGGTAAAAGAGGATCAGAGGTGATTTTCTGCTTTTAATGAAAGGAGGGAAAAAACAGTAGTTTTAAACCTCTTTTTCCCCCATTTTCACTCTTTCTTTGTTTCACAGATGGAAAAAGTGGAGCAGAAAATTGCTTTGCCCAAAGCCACACACTGGCAGTAATTGAACTAGAAGACAGCGTTGGTTTAAATAGAAAATGTGCAATGCATTAATACTATTTGGGCTATTCTAACTGCTGTTTCTTTCTCTTGTCCACATATGCCATTTACTTTTCAACTGTATTTACATGGCAATTTTGGTAACAGAATCTTGGGGGGATTCCCWAGTTATGAGTTGCTTTCAAAGAGTTTCAAGAAAACAAGAAGGAATAAATATGAAATACCAAATTCACCAAATTCTTGAGAGAATAGCTCACATTTTGGGTGCTGTTTTCCCAAGAAACAGATTAAGGAGGAAGCTCTGCTTTCTGTTCTTGTCCATCAGTTGTGACCCTCATGTCTAGAATAAAGGAGCTGGTGGATCTCCCTGACAATCCAGTCCCGTCTCACTGTGCTGTGCAATATATTAAACAGAGTGATGGTCATTGTTTTTTTCAATGTGTGATCGTAAGGGTCAAGACACTGAAGACAAAAATAGATAGCCATTTATTAGGCGAGAATTGAGATGCAATGAAGTTAAGAAAYTAAGTCAGTCACAACAGAGGTTGGTGGCAGACCGCAGGTAAAGCCTGTGCATTTGTGAAGACCACTCTAGTCCTCTGTGGCATACTGCTACTCCAGYTCCACAAGAGAAACAATGCAACTTTGTAGGAGTCCATACAGAAGAGAGTAATGCAAGCTAAAAGCAAAAAATAATGGAAGCTTGAGAGGTTCATCCCTCCATCTCCAAAGAAGCTGCTTTTGTACCAGAGGTGAGATTGAGGTTCAACAGATCATAGTTTTAAATCCAAGTAGATATGGAACTTTGCTCTCAACGACGGGCTAAAGAGCAGTCGTTGCATTGAGTCACAATGAAGAATTTCCGTGGAGCTTTTATGGTAAATGAGGTCTGACATCACACATATATTAAAAGACCTGGTGAAAAGCACCACCAAGGGTGGCTYATATCCAGCAGCCCATCAAGTGGYTGTCATTTCAACATGGGGAAGCAACTGTCTGCAGAAACTGTTATGAGCAAAATCTTGCTATGGACAAAAAGAAATCCATCCTATGTTTGGAGCCACACCAAAGTTATTTTAATTGCAACCTTAGCAATTAAAAAAAATATTACCAGTCCAAATCTAATTATTGCAGAAAAACAAAGGAAATAAAGAAATTGTACAGAAAGTCTCAATAATAATASTACAATAAAAATTGTTATGGATGCACTATTTAGTATCTACCCTTACCCTTTTCCTGGTGTCACACCTGCCCTTTCACCTCCTTGTGGCTTTCACTTGGTAGAGGGAGCACAGTGGATCATCAGCATCTGGAGTCCTGTRCCTGCAGGAATATGATGTTGGTGTTTATGGTTTCTTCTTCTTTCCTTTTTTTTTGGAAATAGATCTCACTTGGGGCTCTTTTTGCACATGTTCTAGTAGTTTTACTCCTTGGTTTTTCTTCACTGGCCTGCAATTATATTTTTCTTTTTGTTCATCTTCTGTATTTTGCTTTTTGTTTACCTTATATACTCATTCTTTCTTCTCTTTTTTACCTCTAAGAATAGTTTTGTCCATACAGCTCCAGGTCTGTATTTCTTTAACAGACCATTGGCAAGTTGGTAGAGCCTCCAGTACCACCCTGTGCTCCATCTCTTTTTATCCCATGCCTCTACTTTACAGTGCAGTTGAGGTCTTCACTTCTCAAGGTTACTGCTGTATTAATAGGCCTGTATTTCTGTACCCCATTACACTATATTAGAGTCGTAAATAGATCATTTTACACAGAATAGCTACTAATTATTAATATCTATGTAACAATTGTGGTCACACATAAAAGTAAAACCAATTAGCCATAGCCTCCTGCCCTTAGAAAAAAAAATTATTATGGCCAAATCAAATAAAACCAAACTCTGAGAAGCCTGGGAACGTTTGTGTGATAAGCCTCCATGCTGAGCTCTTGTAACACTTGGGACAAAGCCTGTGGACTGTCACTAGCAGTAGCAATACAGTTGCAAGTATTACTGGGCTACATGCTGTTTATTAACTTCCGGCTCTGGATTAATATTTGTATGTTGYAATTTCATATGTTGCATACTCTGTGTAGCAGCAGAGGTAAAAATTTCCAGAAAGGGCATGGGAAGGAAGCAGGAATACTACTGACTAGAAAACAGGTCATTGCACCTGAACTCATTAGCGAGTATTTATGAGCCCAGTTCATAGTCCACACATGCTCAGCTTCAACACACTGGGTGTGTATGCYACAAACAAGGTCGCAAAAACCTGATATTACAATTCCTGTGTGGCAGCTGAATTAGAGACATAATAGCATAAGGAGAGGTCCTGACTTTATAGGTTATTCAAGGAAGTGGGGAATATTAAGCATCTTCTAATAGATATTCTCTRAGTATAGAACAGGATAATTATTTGAGTTTTTGTCTAGTCATAGAACAGAAACTATTTAAAGTAGAGTCGGGTCATCTGTTTAAAGCACATATTCATGGTTGAAGGGAATGAGCATTTGGCTTTGAAAAAGTAATTTTAATCAATTTTTTTCTCAGTATGGTCCAGCATATTATTCAGAAACTGCTTCCTTCAGTAAATGGATTGTGAATCGATAGTAGATATAAATAAAGCAGTACAAAGGGCACAGCATTCAACAAGCTGCCAATCGCTGGAACAGAAGATAGCAGAAATCGGTATTCCAAGATGGATACACAAATAAATCAGAAATGGGCAGATAAAACACAAATATCCACCTTTTTACAGAAATTTCAGAGTTCTATCTGGTCCTGAAAACCACTGAAATGTACATTAGTTTTTATGTGYTTTATTTGACAGACCACTAAGAGATGGAGTTTGATTGGAAGTCTGTTTTTCATCTAAACATTTTTAAGCTTATTCCTCTTAGAAATCACAGAGTTCTTTAAATATAGAGAACAAATTGCCGGGCTGCCAAAGATCTTTCTGGAGACAGGAAGAAAATTAAAAACTGAAGACTTTTTATTATAACTCAAAGGATCAATTCTTAAGACATACTAAATACCCATAATTCCTGTAAGGTCTGTGAAAAGTGGTATTACTCAGCACTTTTTAGGATTTGACCCCCAATAGAAAGAGGAATTAAAATATTTTTTCAAGCACACAGATCATAATAAATTTGTATTAGTCATTTGCATCAGGACAATCTTATTTAAATGTYGCTAGTAGGAACTTTGAACATGACTCATATTGTGTCTATCATAACTRTTAATTATTAATGAATAAATATGCCATTTGGGACCCAATAAGTAATATTTCCAGACCATTTGTGTAAATGGTTGTTTTCAACTGTGACATTAGTTGCCAGGAATTCAATATCCTTATTTATTTCATAATTATTAATCATATATTATGCTAACCTGAAAAAAAAATCTCATTACCCTCTTATCAAAACGATGAGCTTTGTATCTGTTAAAAAAAATGTGATTCTCGTGGAATAGTTTAAGTCTAAAGATTACACATTCAATGTTTTTTACAAAAATATAGATAAGGACAGAGTATTTGTAACTACTATTAGGCCTACAATTTGGGATTGTACAAGCTGCCATCCTCACTAACCATAAGGTTTGACAAAACTTCCAGAACAATTTCTTACTCTAATGGCAATTCTGGATAATTGCTGCAACCCATATAAATGCCTGATTTCACTTTGAACCCTTCCAAACCATAATGCTGCATTAAAAAGAGAAACTATGAACACACTTYGACCAGTTTTGAATYTGCCACATTTTAATATAGCYRTTCTTACTGCCTTTCAAGACAGGATTTCCCATTATATCCTAACACCATCTGCTAATAATGTTTATAACAGAACTGCATAGGGGGTCAGCTGGGAAGGGGGCCCCAAATGTACCCATACTGTCTATAAAAGGAAAGCTAGTCTCTGCCTGGCAGATTCAATGGACAAAAAGCTGGAAGGAAGCAAGAKGGGCAGAGGGAACAATGAGATGGCAGCATACATTGTACATCTTTATTTTTGTTTTCATTTGAATGTTTCTGTTCTTTTCCTGAGGCTCTGTTATGAAAGAATTGAGTAGACAGCAAGACCACAGTAACAAGGACATAGAGCAAGCTATAGCAGGCAGTCTATCAAAACACATCAGAGATTTCGGAATGCAAACTTCAAGCAAGCAATTCAGTGATACTGCTGGTTTCTAGATGTGCCTCACTTACTCTTCCCTGCATAGTCCATGATTAGCCCTGTCAAGGGCCCTACCTCAAGTCTCTCACCATTACACTCTCTGGTTAAGGAGGATGGATTTTCTTATTTAGTACCTACTTTMTAGGAGGTTAAAATTCAGTGAATTTGTGTTTTCAATCTATCAGTTAGTTAGAAAGCATTGCCATTTTATAGACAGGAAACAAAACCGCAAAAATTTACATAAGTACAGTTTTAGTATTCTTTTTTTTATCTATAAATCACTTCCTCAAGCTGTACATGTAATACTTCTTTTTTTAGTAACAAATGACTGCATTATCCCATTTWTGTTGACAAACCTTTTGAATTATTGGAACAATATTAACATTTATTTAAAGCACACTTCAGATGCATATGAGCATAAAACACATACTCAGTATAGCAAGGCAGTCTCAGGCATCCTCCTATTCAATTGGATTGGCAACACCAATACAGATGAGTGAGCATTTTTTACCCTGTATCTCCCAAGGCATTCAAGCACATTAGTGCTTGCTTAGGAGACAAAAAAAAAAAAAAAAGAAGACACTAGTGCTGTATTTGGGACACAATTTATTTTTTCAAAATTCAATCAGATGAGTGTAAGGTCCATTTGTATCCAGTTTTAACACCTGCCTGTTCCCATATGTGCCATGCTTGACAAGAACACYGGCTTCCATGCATTTGGCATTGGCAGCTAGTTCTTTTTCACACAAAGCTACAAACTGAGAATAAAGTTCCAACCCTTTTTCTTTTTCAATGTTTGCATGGTACTGCATCTTTCTTCCCTTTGGTTTACCACCTAGGGTAGCTTGTGGTATGATGAGTACGTCGCCTGGTAAATCAAGAACAGAAACAAACTYGCCGTTTTCATTTTCACTTAATTTAACATTCAACAGCATATTGACTGCAAATAAAAATAAAGTAAGAGTTAGTATAACTGAAGTGAATTAAACAGAACATCATAAACAAGATCCAACAAATATTTTGATGTGTGTCAAACTACTRAATAAAAGAAACTGTTTATTAATTAAATGAACATGGACAATCAATAAATACTTTACCAACTAATATGTCTGAGTATTGCGAGGAATGTGAAGGATATTTATTTTAATATCATATGTTTAAAGTTCTATTTTTGGGGAAGTGATTTGCTCTCTAAAATTCYAAAGTTAATTCTAGTTGGACACCCCCAAAAGAACCCAGAATCCAATTAGTGAGCCTTCCTTAATTGCTTGATATTCAAATAGGCAGCATTTGCACAACATTGCAGGAGAYACCACCCTCAGGAGGGTGTTCTGCCCTGACTCTGTTCACTCTGGTTGCAAYAGCTTGGAGCAGGACCCAGCACTGAGCTGAGCTGAAGGCACAGCTCCACAGTTCGGTCTCAAGTGGAGAGAATGCCCTTCAGCTCCACTTCGAGACATGCAGCTACCAGTCTGTCACTTAAGAAAGGAGGTGGGCAGGAAGGTCAGATGCAATTTGGCTTATAAGCCAGAACATATAAACTTGCAAATAAAATCAATGCATTTACTAACATTAGATTTTCTGATGTTTTTGTAACAAATCTAATCATTACCCCAATTCTGTAAAAGCTGGGAGGATACTAGTCATGCCTCCAAAACCATAAATGTTTAATGTTGTTAGAAGCAAAAATATCTGAATTGTGATTCAGGAACCAAACCCATATATCTAAACAGATTGAAAATATATTTAGGGAACAATATTCTCTAAGACACGCACTCAGGGATGATGGTCCTAGAGTAATCTCTTCATAAGAAACAGAACTTTCTTTTTCTGGCCTTTTTTAGCTGTCCCTCAACTGAAAATGTAATTATTCTCAAGTAACATTTGAATGAAACTCCCACAAGCACAAAATAAATTTTCATATCATAGATTTAAATATTTAGCATCACAGAAGGATTGTGCCCTCCAAGATCAAGAGAGAACCCCACAAGAGTTGCTCTCAGCATCTTCAATTGCATCTGTACTTGTGCACTGCTGGTCCCAGCCAGGAGCCTGAAATAGCCTATTGTTACACAACCCCTAGCCAAATCACTAGGATCAGCCAGCCACAGAAAAGGGGCACTTTTATCTGGAATACGTGGCATCACAGAATTTTCTAGGTGATCCAGTGCTACTGATGGAAGAAAGGTGGGAGAAGAAATAAAATAAAAGTTAAAAAAAGAAAAAAGAAAAAAGAAAAAAAAATCAAGCCAAAACAGCACTGGGTGAAGACAGAAATCACTACTATTTCACCTTATCCACAGCATTTTCTCTGCTTCAATGTAAATGTTAAAGTGTATATGGAGAAGAAGACAAGAATTGCAGATGCTGCTGTTATCGCTTCTGAACCAGAAAACTGCACTTGAAACGCTAGCAGTGTGAGTACTACTGAAGTGAGACGGAAAGAACACTGATTCATTATCCACACAACTCCCTCTACTGGCTATAATTTTAAATGTCCTGTACATACAGTGATACCAGTGTTAAAATACTTATCAAATCAAGCCAAGAACTATATGAAATTCAGTTCTGTCCTGGACTGAACCTGCTGCCCAACACATGTAATATGTTAAACAGCAGGTGCAGCATTTTCTCCATTTGCTAGAATGTTATCATGGGAATTGGTTTTCTAGGTTGGTCATGAGCAGACGGACAGAGATAAGAGGCATGGACAACTGTCAAAACAAGACAGACCAAACTGTTCTTTCAGCCAGATGATTGATTTAGAATGATGCCATCTCATGGCTTGTCAAAATGGTTGCCACCTTCTCTGCCCCTACCGCTCTTTTCCCTTTTCAAACAATACAATAACTTATACAGATTATGTCATACCAATTTTTGGGACAAGATCCTCATCAGCACCTTTGAAGAAGCATATGTAGATAACAAGGCCTCTCTGGATCTAGAAAAGATTACAGTAAACCAGGTCAATGTTTCTCATTGTCTATTACGCATGCTTATCATCAAAACTGGTATAAAAAATGACAAAATCAYATGCCAGACAAAGGTTCAAAGAGTAGTTTTAGTTATTTAGTATAGCTTCAGTTATTTAATATAGCTTCAGATATCAAGTTTATACAACACACTATGGAAGCTTGTACGATATATACTGATTATCTGCACAATGCTTCTACACAGAATTAAAACAATTTATTAGTTCCATGTGAAGCCAAATTTAGTTGGAATGTACAACGTACAGTATTAACATAGACATGGTGACAGGAAGAACTACTGTACTTAAATTCAGCATAAAAAATAATTTAACCTTTTTTCCTATCAAATGTAATGTTAAAATRATTTCCAGTGTGAATTATTATATTTCCAATTATGAAGCATGACAAACACCACAGAACTTATCAAAGAACTAAAGTTTATTTTGATAGTACRATACAATTTTGAAAAAAACTCACAGAGTATGTTAATTAAATATTTAAATATGATGACCAGCAACTGTGAAGTTGTAAAGCAACTGTGAATAAAGTTATTCAATATACTATTTATCAGCTTGGGTAAAATCTAACTGGAAAAATGGAACCTTTCACCTGATTGTTACAGAGTAAAGGATAAGCCAATTCTTCAGCATTCAGAGAGACTACTTGTAAGGACTAYGTATTTGAGGGAAAAATTAGGCCTACACTGAGGAGAAAGCACAAGAAAACTCTTGTGTAGGTTTTCTGCTCACTTGGTTAGTCCATGAGGAATGCATGTGTGACAACCCATGCTTTACTAAGCCAAACTGATAGGCTCTGCAGCCAACAGCAACTATGTCTCACACACAACACCCCAATTACTTAACTTCTCTGGGACAAAAAACAGAAAGGCATACAATATATAAAGAAACCTTACCACTGCTTTGTCAAGAATAGGTATCTTTTTAATTTTGTTGGAAGAAACATAAATGTCAACTTGTGAAATACYGCCGAAGAGATGTTAAATAGATTGGGATAGGAAAGAGTTATTAATATCAATATTATCAAAGCAAACCGAGAGAAAATGTGAATAGTTTCTAAAAAATACTTAAAAAAATTTTCCACTATTTGTTTTTTCCCCTTTTCTTTAAATGATAAAGGTTTTTGGTGAAGAAAACTATACACATGAGATTTAATCCCTTTGTTATTGCAGACATTAAACAAAATGCTCAAGACAATGACTGAGAAAAACTATGTCTTCTCAACTATTTTTCTAGTGACTAACTTCTGATAAAAGAGATTTTTTTGTAGCCAAAATGTCACATGATGAGAACTTTCAGCAGCTCTAAATGCCTCCTTCCAAAACTCATTTTGACCACTRCAGAATATTATACAGATTCCCAAATGACTGCCATATTTCATAAACACTCTACGAAATTTGATGGCTTGAACATCAAACGACATTTCAAATCACGTATTCAAATAAGGGACAGAAATGCAGACTGCCAAACATTAGATATCCTTACATGTTTAGCTAAATATTGATTCCAGAAACAGACCTGTGTCAGGATATTAATAGATAATAACAATGCACACAGAGCTGCTAATAAAAATATTTTTTATAAAATACACCAAATACATTGACATTGTATATGGCTGACCTCAGCTATAGAAATAAGTGATTCCGTGATACAGCACACACCACAGAAAATAATTTAATTTGGAGATTGTGAGTGTCTTTTTTCTGCACAATCTGTTACAGAAGTAAYGATATTCTAAAAGCAGCTCATTTAAAGAGACAAAAAAAATAGTAACGTCACCTTGGCAAGTCCTAAGGCCAGAGAGACAAAAACTAGGCAAAATCACTCATTATTTTTCCAGTCTCTGTCCTTATTTGATATCTGTCTTCGAATAAACTACTTACCATTGTATGAGACATGCACATTGAARAAAATTAGAGGGACAGGAGATTAAATGGAAAAACAATTAATTCAGAGACAAGTTAAAGTTGTTAAGGATGCTTCTATTTATACTGTATGTTTATGGTCCCCTAGAATGCTTTACAACAATGATATAGTTGAAAACTATGCAACTATTTATAAGCTGAAACTTACAGTTTCAATTATGACTGATAAGTGCGGCTCAACACGTGCATGCCATGTTTCAGCTCCTTGTTAAGTCTTACTTTGTTCTTTAGTTTTCTTAATTGAATAGAAGATGTAMAATTGAATGCAATTACAAGACCAAACCTAATAATGACATGTCAGTCTGACCTTCTATCAGTGTTCCAGGTGTCTTAAGACTTGTGCTYATTGTCAATGTAATGTGGAAACCTTTTGAACCAAAGCAAAACCATTGCCATTGYTGCAGGTCCTCTGTAACCTACCAAAGACCAGTTACTGCTCTTCGGAGCCGTATGTAACACACACAAAATCAAGCAAAATAACACAAATAAGATCATAAATTCAACATATTGATGTGCAAACAGCCTCTGTAGGGAACCTACACAGTGACATTGGCAGTGACAGTGGCATTTATTATACAACTGTCCTAAGTAATCATCGGATCAGGCAACCTGCATCATGAAGGGCTGAAGTACCCAACCCTAATGCCGAATAGASAGCCTTAGCAATGATGCCTCCAAATGCAGCTTTTTAGCTCATTTGCAGGAAAAACTAAATAACTGACTCCTTCYTCACCTTCCTTACTAAATACATTAATCTGTATTTTTCAGGAATTCATTTGCAAAAGTGAAATATATTCTGCAAGATATTATCTTAACTCTACCTTCTTTAAAAATATTTTTTACCTCAGGAAATGGCAATGGATGATAAAAAAAGGTACTTTGCAATCCTTAGAAAGTCAGTTTGCAAAACTAACTTAGATAAATTATTCTGTGACATTTCCATTCCAAGTTCAGATTTACTACCCTCTAGGAAGATTTCTTATTTCTTAAATTCAGTGCAGCAAAGAGAGATTACATCATCTGCCACAGGTCACAGAACAAGTCCATGCCTGGTACTTTSCACCTCTTTTCGCTATAGTAACCAGAAAACAAGTCAAGGGAAATAAGATAAGGAAAAGAGTCTTTTCCTTGCATAAAGGGTAGGCGCTTATACTTTTTAGCTGAATATTCATTTTACATTYTTTTTTTCTCCCATAGTTATGAAACACACCAAACCACACCTTATTTCACCCCTACCTTTAAAGGAATTCYTTCTTTTTCTTCCTAAGTATTTGTATACATAAACCTTTTATGCAGGATATATAACCAAAATTTTCCATAAACAAGACATCCTATGCGCAATAATCCTCAACAGGCAAAGAAACCTCAATCACAGAAACACAATGAAGGCAGTGATTAATGTATAAAGTACACTCCTAACCTTTTTGCAGATAAAGAACATCTGCTCTGAAGTTCCTAAAGCACCCACAGGGGTCTCTTGCAGCTCAGAAGCTATTCAAAGCCACATACAAAATTTACCATTTATAGTATGCTAGAAACGTCTCAAGGTGGGGACCTACTTTTAAGTGGTCATAAAACATCAGGAACACACWGGTTGGTGTAAATAATAGTTGATGAGGTCAATATTTTTATTTTTGTGGTTTTGCATTGACATGCATATATAGGGAGTGAAATTACCCTACCAGAAAATGTCAGCAGCAAAGGTTCCTTCCAATGACCTCTAAAGTAGTCATACCAGAGAAAATAGGAACTTTGCATAGGCTTTTTTTCTGCATGGTGATTAGTCCTTGTTGAAACAGATTTCTCTTAAAAAGGTCCAGGTGCCTGGGAAAGATTCCTAAGTACCCATGAAAAACATTAGTAAGGGTCACGTCTGAAAAATATCTGCTGCTGCGACCACCGAAATCTCTTTCAGATTCCTTTGGTGCTATCAATTATTTTCCTAGTCATTTTGCTTAATATGTTAAAAACAAGTAAGAGATATAAACTGCATAATCGCCATGTAACAGTTATTCATATCTCTCAACCACATGTACCTTTTCAGATAGTTTAAATGAAAGCCAGCAAAATTACATCTCTCCTTTTATTTGCTAGATCTACACTTACTTCTGTCATTACAAAGCTAGTTCATCTAGATTGGGCTAAGCAAATTTTATCACAATTAACGTTACACTGAGAGGTTCATAATGCAATGCACACAGGTGCACTACATCTGTGAAACACGGTATCTGGCAGATGACACCCATTTTCTCCCTGAAACGTTCAGGCTTCCCAGACCATGCCTAGTAGAAACTAGGTCTGCTGGATCCACCCACTCCTGCTACACAAGCAGAGAAACTTTTTAAAGATAATATGAAAGACAAACAGTGAACTCTATTCAGACGTGTTGAAGGAATGCATAAACCCTTTAAAGATGCTCGAATTTTTCCTTTTTAAAAATCATGCAAGTGACTATATTAAGCCCTTTCTGTTGTAATAGTCTTTAAAGAAGACAAAAAACAAAACCAAAAAAAAAAACCCAACAGCTAAAGAGTTGACAACGGCAGAAGAGAGTTATTCTAGTGTAGGTAACTCACAAACAGTGACAACTACAGCAGGGCAGTGTATTCCAAAGGGCAGCCTTCATGTTTCCGTATAGTGCCCTGGGCCATATGCACAGCACACGGAACACAGAGTCCTCGGGCCTACCTATCTCTCCCAGCAGAACACTGTGGGAGGAAAACAGGGAAAATACATGTTTTCCTCAACCTGTGTGTGGTCTACATACTAAATTTCATTTTTAGTTAGTTGCCTGGAAAACAACCAACCAACCAACATCAGAACTAGTGCTGTCATAGTCCTATTGGCCTACCTGGCCTTTCTTTTCCAAGTGTACGCTATCAGACAAGCCGACAGCTGAGCCCACCAGCCAAGCTGGTAATGTCCCTGAGAAAGCGTGTTTATGGAAAGAAGGAACAACARTTTGAAAGAAGTGTTTGGTCGTGGCGCAGTCATGCTCCTGAAGGCACTGCTGCCAGTGGAGGACCCTGTGAAGCACAGGGAGAAAGCAAACGCAGCAGAGAACCCGCTGGGCGCCGACCTCGGCCTCCTGCTGCTCGTCCCTTTCCGAAGGGACTGAGTGCAACYTTTGGTGATAAGCAGGGGGCGAAGAGAGGGCTCTGGAGCGGAAAGCAGAGATGAGGTTGGAAAGGGGCCTGAAGCGCAGCTTAGCCTGGAAAAGGCGCAGGGGGTGTTTCCCTCACACGCCTCACTGGCCCCCGCTCCCCAACGGCGCACGCTCGCAGCGCACGGACGGCGCGCTCTCCCGCTGCTCTCCCGCTGCCCGCCCCGCGCCGCCCCGAGCCGCGGGGAGAAGGCGCCGTGCCGAGGGCGGAGCGGCCCGCGGCCCACGTTACCTCCACCCACTGCGCCTCGGAGCCGCGCTCGGGTGGCCGCACCTGCAGCCGTGCCGAGACGCTCTGCTGCAGCACGGCCCGGGCCCGCACCGGCCCCGCCGCCGCCATGGCGGGCCCGCAGCGCTGAGGGCGGGGCCCGGTCACGCCTTTCCGGCACCGGGGCCGGCCGGAGCCCGCGGGGCACGGGCGGCGGGAAGGGAGAGGCAAAACCTCACATGCAGATGGTAAAACGGGCCTTCTGATTTGTCCTCTATACTGGGGACTGAATACAAGCTTTGGAACAGAATTAAAAGAAAAACTGAATATTGTTATTTCTTTTGCTCCTTACTTGTTGTATTTCAGGTGACTGAGATCAAAGTGGAGCATTTCTCTTCAGTGATACTACGCTGGAGCAGAGGGAACAGAAAACATAGTTTAAAAGGATTTGGATAGTTGGTGATCCAAATCATCTGGGAAAAAGGAAGGCATATTTTTAAATTGAGATCCCATTGCTTATTGGAAAAGTTAAAGTGTTGCAAGTGCTTATTTGATTATCTTCCAAGTTTTTGGCCACATACCCTGATACTCCTTGAACAACTCCAAAACTGGATGAGTTGTGTCTTTCTCCAATCTGAATTCTGACACAGCAAAGTTTTGAATAATACTGGTTTCATTGGCGTTAGGATAGAATTATGTGGAATTCAGTTTCTCTCTCGCAAATTCATTTTATGACTGAAGAGTGTATTTTTACAATGTAAAAGATGGTATGTTTAAAATATATATATATATATATATATATATATAGCAGTGTGAAAATGAAGCTGAATTTTAGTACCTGGACTCAATCAGAGTAAAATTATCAAAGATCACTATTGTGCAGCAAGGGCCAATATGTACTTCTGAATAATCAATGCCACACATAGGGATCTATTCGGCCTCTATCTGTCATTTTAAAAGAAGATTCTTTATGTGTGTTCAATGAGCTTACTCTTCCCAAAGCAAACCTTCATGGAAGAGCAGGAAATTGTACTAGGTGGTTAGTGTATAAAGTAGCTCATTTTGCTAGCTGTAGGGTATTGAAAAATATGATATGTTTTTATTTAAACTCAGCTAATTTTATTTAAAATACTTTCTGTTCATTTACTTGAAAGCTGTATCCCCAGACTCATTAAGAAGAGTTTGAGGTAGAAATCAATTTAAAATGAGGYTTTCCATATATATTTGTGATATAAATTGACTGTTAAGGAAAATGGATTTTGCTACAGTCTGAGTGAATAAATAATAATGCCATTATTTACACCAGGATATGCTAGAGAACATTTATTCATGTGCAACTTTCAATACAAATGCCTGTGAAACATTTCATAGAAAAATTAGGATGACATCATTGTTTATAGATTCTTGGTGGAATTATGTTGTATTTTCCTCGGGAAGCTTAATAGTGCTGTTGCATCTTGAATTTCTTCAATCTTACTGGCCTATTGTTAGATTAAAGGCCTCTCTTTTCATGCCAAATAATGATAGTAAATTTATTGGTTAAATTYTAGGTGTGGATTTGGATTTGTCTGTGGTTTTTATGTAGAAAAAAGTACCTCCTGACATCTAAAGAATATATCCACGCATAAAATAYATTGGTATTTTTATCAGGTACTATATAAAGACATTTTTCTGCATGTGTTGAATTTGACAGTTGTCCTAGAATATTTCCTCTCTGCTCGTTGTAACTGGATCTGAAAGTAGGTATTTTGAGAATGGTACCCAGAWGACATTTCTGGTTATTTTTCCATCATTTCTCTTTCAGAGGGGCAGATGGCAGTCTTGCAAATTGCAATGGATGTGTCTTTTTCCTTACCCTTTGTGTGAATGGTCATGTGTCTGAGTTCAGAAMGTGTTTGGACAACACTCTTGGTGTGATTTCTGGCATGTCCTKTGCAGGGCCAGGAATTGGACTTGAAGATCCTAGTTGGTCCCTTCCAACTCAGACTGTGATTCTCTGATTCCATGCATCTTTGGAACAAATCCTTTTGTCAAGAAATGGGTGGATGCTAGGAGCTCTGCCTGTGAGTCACTTGGCTTTTTCTTCTTGTCTTTCAGTACCAAAATGATCTCAAGTGGTTGAATTCTTCCCTGGGGATGTTGTTTYGGGGGTTTGTTGTTGTTAACATTAAGTTTGGTGTTACATACCATTTGACAGGGACAGAAGTTGACTGGACCTTTGCAGGGACAAGATGTATCTGGGATGTTTTTGATTTGTTTGTGGTATCTGAAACATGATCAGTGGTCTTTCATGTAGCTATTACATCAACAAAGTTGCCGTTATCTGTTTTGAAGAGAAACTATACAAAGCTGCAGTGGCACTTAGCTAGCAAAGACACAAAGTTGGTTGTTGGCAAGAGTTGTATCTGGCTAAAACTGTCTCCTTTGTGGCTGAATGGCTTCAGGGTGTCAAGGGAAGAATTAGACTTCAACATTTCATTTTCTACATTGCCAAACTTKGAAGTCTTCCATGCCTACAGAATAAAAACAAACAAACAAACAAAAATCACAAAAAAAAGTTCAATCACTTAGAATCATGGGAGCTGCTAGTGGTGTGAAGGGTGAGACAGAACTGATGATGTCCTTGTGGCAACTGTGAAAGATTGCTATAATAAGACTCATCATCAGAGAATGGCCTGGAAAGTGGAATTTGCAATAATGAATTACAAATTTCCATCACAAGGTAAAGATATTTCCACAAAATTATTTGTAAACTGGCATTAATAAATGCCATAATGCCATGTTCGAATAAAGTACAATTTTAATTTGGCCATGTTGTAACAACAGGTCAATCCCTGAAAGAAAACAAGATACTGCATATCTTTATTCCAAGATATTTAAACTGCCGCRAGACAGCTCAGAATGTTAGATTCGTTTTTGAAGTGATGTTTATGATCATACATCTTGAATAGAGTCAAATACTTCACTTTCTGCTGAAGGATGACCCCTTTTTCTTCTCCTTTTTTCTCTTAGTTTACTTACTGTATTTGTCTTTTTGAGTTACTTGCCTTATCACAAATAGCACAAGTAGGTTCTCTGGCTCTTATATTTGGTGATTTTTTTTGTAGYCTATTTCTCAGTCTAGTTTGAGACCCAGTTAAACCTTCTGCAGCCTCATAACTGTTAGCTGAATTGCTGATGAGCTGGAAGAGACAACGTACTGCTCAACAGTGATGTGAGTGCAGAGAAGATTAGCTGGTGGTGTTAGAATAATTTTACTAAGACACATTATGATTACTGAATTTAGTACTGACTTATTCAAGTACTGTCCAGAGGTCAGGAGTATGTCTCCCTCCCAACCATCATCCTCCTTCCTCCAGAGTTATTTAAATAAGAAAAGCAAAGAGTGCACGAAGAATTTCCCTAGTACAAGTCAGACAGCAGAAATGAGCAGTCCTGTCAGTCAGACCACAATTATTGCACAATGCCTGTGTAGACCTACCAGAAACAGCTCTCCCAGAGAACATRGAGTGAAGACTATCATCCACTTTGCCATCCAAACTGTCCCCCAGCTCTGTTTAGCATTTGAATGAACCATAGCAGACTTCTGGGGGAAGATGATTGAGAGGAAGATGTGATTTTTATCTTTGTGCTTTGCAGTACACCCCTAGGAAGGTCATGGCTTCTTCAGCTCCAGTTCTATAGCATCAGAGTTGGTCCTCCTCTTTGAGTCTTCCAGCAGACCTAATTTAGTGTTCCCACAAATTATTAGCAGGGAAGGCTGGTATTCCTGTTGTGGAGGTACAATTKTGTGATTTGAGCTGTTGATATTATCTGTGTTAAAAGACAATACACTATTATAGTGTAGATAATACACTATAATAGTGTTTAATACACTATTAAAAATAGATATGTGTTTTGTTTAGTTCTTCATACAGTTACAAAACAGACACCAAAATGTGCTATAGCAATCAAAATTTAATTAAATTTCTGGAAAAAAAAAGCAGACTCAGTGGGAAAACCGTGTCAGATACAATTACTATTTTTTATTGTGAGAAGCAAAATTTGGATCTACTAGGGAAAATAAACTAGCCAGATAAAAGGCACACAATCTGCTTACTGTGATTGCCTAAAGGAAGTAAGAACACTATTAATCAGTTTCTTCTTCATTGGGTGCCGAGCATGTTCTTTTGCCTGTGACATTTAACTACTCTATTTTTTCCTGCTCGGTTGTCTCCTGAACCAAACCTTTGTTTGTATGATTGACAGGAATGAATGTTAAAAGGACTTCTGTAGTGTGCTCCAGTGGAATCAACACAACAGTGGGAATGGCCTGCCTGCAGTATGTACCATGGGGTCTCACTGTAGCATGGTGTACTGGTTAGATGTAACGCAGTTTTTGGCGTTTTCTTCCACAGAATTGAGCCAATCTCATATGCCTATATGCTCTTGTGCAGAGCCAACCTTGAGTTGCAACAGCACACTTCCAGAATTCAGAGGGAGGTTGTGCAGAGCCATGGAGATGAATCCATGAGGAGTCCCTCAAAGGTCAGCAGYTTTCTGCTCTCTGTTAGGAATGGCATAGCCAGGTCCAGGTTGATCCCTGCAGGCCTATCCAAATGTAATTGCTCCCACAGACTTCTGAGTTTGGGATCTGGGTTTCACACAACACAAGCATGGGAAAACAGCTTGGGTGTAGGACAGTACTGACTCAATGGTGAAGGAAGAAGCAGCCAGCACTGAGCTATAAAAGGGCAACCTTACGGTCACAGGGCCTGGGGCAAACCAGGCAGGAGTAATAGAGCTCCGTGACAGTCAGCAGCTGTACAGGTAGCTTGTCATCCCTGAGCAAGCTCAGGATGGTAGAGCCATCCAGGCCAGCCTTGACCAGTCAAAGTCAGCTTCAGCTTCTTGTGGTCTGTGTGGAGCTGCTGACCACACATGAGCTCAGAGCATGGCACTGATCTGCTAGAGTGACAGGGGAGGGTCCTGTTTTCTTCAGGCCCCTGCACTAACCCATGGCTGGCTGATATCGATGGGTGTTGCAAATTGGGTTCATCCTGATGGAGGAAGAATTTAGAACAGGCACAATAGAGCACAGCTYCTAAATTCTTTATTTTCCTACATTCAAGTTTGGTCTGCTGCATCCAAGGTGGATTCTTCTCTGCCCCTGCCTTGT